AAATGAATATTCACCACGAGTTTTACCCCAATGTTTTGATAATACTGTGATAGACTGATGAGAATCCTTTTTTGAACAGAATTTCATCTTAAATTTTTTACGCTTAGCAGCAAAATTAGAAGAATATCCCTTAAGCAAATCATTTATTACTTCATTGCAAATGTCATAGGAAGTTTTGAGGATCCATTTGAGTTTAGTATCATTAAAGTTTTTGGCATTAAGACACAACGCGCGTAGATCCTTCTTTTCTCGTTTGATACCTTCTTTTTCGACTGCAGTAAGACACCGATTGTATATCTATCATGCTGTTCCTATCCATCTTCTGAGTTCAGATGCTCCTGCTGGTTGGAATAAATGCGAATCTGTTGCACCTTGCTGCTAAAAGTTTCTTCACTTCCTTCTTAGAATTCTTGAAACTCTTGGGTAACATCTCTTCTGCTCCTGCGATTTGCGACTGAACGTAATCCATTATGTCATGCCACAAATACTGTGAAGTCTTTTGCAAGTTCTCCAGTTTTACTACTTTCAGCACTGATATCTGTACTGAGTACCACGAGCTGAATCCCATTTTTCTCAAAGATCCATTTCACAAGCTCAAATCTGAAACGGCACAATCGATCCTAATAAAAAAGTTAGTAAAATAAAAAATTAATAAATCAAAGCAAATAAATAATTAAACTTAAACCTTTTAGGCAACCACCACTTCTTCAATTCCTCCCGTATATATTCATTACAGAAAGGCAACAAAACCCCTGCGTTTCCAGTTGAACCCCAAACTAATGTTGCTAACGATTTCATATTCGATTTGTCATTCAAGGTCATCTTATTGATGTTCTGAACTGACTCTGACGTAACAGATCTTTGTCTTTTGCGTGGATTGTTGTTAGTTGTCTCCGAAGATTTTTTGAATGTCTGAAATTAAGTATAATCGTTTTCTACCAGGTGTTCTGCAGTGTATAAAATCTAAGTTAAAATTTATGTACACAAGTTGATTAATTATTTCTAAAATAAGAAAATCATAATATTTTCTTATGTAAAATTATCTTTTTTGTACATAATTTATCTATTTTTAGTAATAA